TTTAAGGGTTTTTTTGTTTTTTGGTTTTTGGTTTTTATTTTTTATTTTTTTTTTATTTTTTTATTATTAACTTTTTTTGGGGTTTTTACTCACCGCTTTTGCTCTATTTTAATCTCCCCTTTATTAAACTTCCGAATCTTATTTTTATATCCTCCTGTTGGGTTTTCAGCTTTTCACATTACACTGCCTTATGCTCACTATGTTCTTTCTCGTTTTTCGTCCACTTTCATTGCATCACTTTATCAAAACTTTTGCGACAGTTTCTCATGACAATTCATGTTAGCTAACCCCAAATCATTTTAGGACTAAGTCTTTGTTGTAGTTGTTGTAGCCTCAACCAACATGTTTCCTGGCAGGTGATGATAATTATTTAAAAAAAAAAAAAAAAAAAAAAACAAAAAAAACCACTCTGTAGTCTGTACCCATTCTTTTTATTTAACATTATCTTTGCTGAAAATTTAAATGTAACTTTGTAATTGATCAGCCTATATTTCAAACTTTCTGACGCTAGTGTTCATGTTCAGTTAGCAGATGTGTGGTCGTGTGGAGTGACCCTATATGTTATGCTGGTTGGAGCATATCCCTTTGAAGACCCTCAGGATCCAAAGAACTTCAGAAAGACGATTACAGTAATCTCTCTTTTTTCAGTTCTCATAATGAGTTTGTAGAGGTTTTAATTGTATTATATTATTTCAGTTTTTAACTGTTTCATTGACGATGTTTTCTGCAGAGGATTATGGCTGTTCAATACAAAATTCCAGAATATGTTCACATATCACAAGATTGCAAGCATTTGCTTTCTCAAATTTTTACTACCAATCCAACCAGGGTATGTATGTTGCTGAAGTTTTCTCTATGTGTCTGTTCTTTGGTTGACAATGTTTCTTTTCTGGCTCCCACTAGCTGCTGAAATATATAAAGTGATGTGAATGCTGTTGCAATTACTTTTTTTTATTTTTAAATCATGGTTGGTAGAACCCTAATGTTTGGTTGCTATTGGAATATGCGAAGTATATAGTCTTGTGAATCTACATTGTCTAAGAATTACCTGATTTGTTCTTTACCAGTCTCCAAGACTCTCCATTCTCCATTACTTTTTTTTTTGGCTCATTCTTTTATAAGTTGACTTTGGCAAATGGCATGTTGTGCTGTATCTTTTTTTATAAATACTATTGCCTTTTTTTTGTCACCCTTTTTTTTTCAACTTAAATTCCAAAATAAAGATACAAACTTTAGAAAAAAGCAAAAAAATTGGTGGGGTTGAGGTCATTCTCGATGATGAATGGTATCATAAAAAAAGTTACGGGTTATCGAGTTCAATTTACACAAAAAAGTACTTCATAAGTTCAAATTGCTTAGATTAGGTCTATGAGGTACCAAGTTCAACTCACAACTGTATCTCTTCGCTTTAAAAAAGGTTCAAATCACTACTAAAAAAATTTCAGATAAGGAGTATTTGGTTTTGAAAATAAAGCCTTGAAATTCTCATTCAGTGTAACCTTTGTCTGCTCATCTTTATTTTTTCTCATATTCTTCTCAGCCAGCCTTGAGTTTACATATCTTCCCTAGCACATTAACAACCACCCCCCCCCCCAACCCCGTAAGTTCAATTTACACAAAAAAGTACTTTGTAAGTTCAAAATGCTTAGATTAGGTGTATGAGGTACCAAGTTCAACTCACAACTGTACCTCTTCGCTTTAAAAAAAGGTTCAAATCATTACTAAAAAAAATTCAGATAAGGAGTATTTGGTTTTGAAAATAAAGCCTTGAAATTCTCATTCAGTGTAACCTTTGTCTGCTCATCTTTATTTTTTCTCATCTTCTTCTCAGCCGTAAGCCTTGAGTTTACATATCTTCCCTAGCACATTAACACCCCCACCCCCCCAACCCCCCACCCCACCCCCGGGAAATCTGTCTGATCCTATTTGAATGTGTAACGTGTCAAATTATTTAATTGTCTATTCTCTGCTAACAACACAATTTTACCCATTGTTATGAGGAGTTGTTGACTTCTGGTATATGTTCTAGTACTTGGTATCCCAATTTGTCAGGACCTTTTCTGGTGTTTATGGAATAGTGTGTAGAACTAATTTGTTTTGCGTTGAGCTTTCTACATATATCATTCTGCAAATGTTAGATTAAGACACTGAATTTATATACTATTTTGATGGCTAATTATGCCCTTTTTCAATGTCTTTGAAGATAAAAGATTGGTGTACCTTGAGTAGATAAGAAAATGAGTGCTAATTTGAACTGCATTTATATTGATCTAATTAATCTATGTACATGAATCCACATTATGGATGGTTGTTTCTTAAATTATTGCAAATATGGGGTTATATAGACTAAAATTATTCTGTTTTATCAACATTCCTATGTTTCTGCAGAGAATTACCCTTAAGGAAATCAGAAGCCATCCATGGTTCTTAAAGAATCTTCCAAAGGAACTAACTCCACAAGCTCAAGCCGTCTACTACCAAAAAGATAACCCAAGCTTTGCTACACTGCAAAGCGTGGAAGAGATCATGAAAATTGTGGGGGAGGCAAGGAAACCTGCTCCTGCAGCAAGGCCTGTCCCGGGATGGGAGGATGAGAATGAAGACGATAATGATGAAGATGCAGAAGAAGTAGAAGAAGAGGATGAAGAGGACGAGTATGATAAAACCGTGAAACAAGTACATGCAAGTGGAGAGTTTGCTCTTAGTTAAGTTGGTGGTGTTGCCATTGTAGTCAATATGTTGCATAAATTTTATGTTTATCAAAGTGTGCATAGGTGTGGGCGTGTGGCATAACTAGTGCTCCGAAAATTTGAAAGGATTTAAGATGTTTGAGACTGTAGGCCTGTGACTTGGTACTGTTAGTTTGTATAAAGATAGGAGCACTAAAAAATGGCACCTTTTTTTCCCCTTGTTATGATTGGTGAATACTTAAAATATGAAGTGTATCATATGTTTGATGTGGTCATGTTGACACTGTCAAATTGAAGTGTTACGAACCCACTTTATAGCAAATTAGTAATATTATGGTTTCTTGTATATTATTATTGTTAATGATGGACTGTCTGTCTTGCTTAGTATAGTGGTTTTGAAAGCACAAAAAGAAATAGAGGGAATACTATTTATTCAATACTTGTTTGATTCTCTTATTGAAAACCTTTGAAATGGTCTAGAATTAGATCCTATTCTCTATACCTTTAAAAATAATATTCAATAAAAATTTCAAATCAATAAAAATAAGTTTAGTTTAGTGTAACATGAAAAAAATAAATAGAGAATCAGTAAAAATAGTTTCAGTTCTTTAAAATTAATTTTCAGTTTAGTAAAAATAATTTTAGTTCAGTAAAAATACTTTATATTCAGCAACAATAAGCGGCTAGTCCGAGCACGATCTCGAGCTTTCAAGCAATTTCAAAAATCTGTTCAGGCTTAGTTCATTAAGTACATTATAGTGTTCGCAAACAGTTCGTGATTGGCTTATTTATTGATAAACGATCGTGTTCATAAATGAGTTTAATTATAAATTTTATGAGTTCTCTAATAAATGAGCTTTGCACTTTTGACATTTGAAAATCTCAAAAATAGCATACTCCCTAATAATTAAATCTTAATTATTAAATTTAATTTAAATTAACAATTGTGAATAAGTCAATAATTTATAAAGAGTTAATGATCAATTTATATCAAAACTTTATTTCACATAAAAGCATTTTGTGTCTTCGAGATATCACATCTTATCAAATCAAACGAATAGCTCGTGAATTTAAATAATAAACGAGTAGTTTATGAACAAAAATAAATGAGTAATTCATGAACATATATAAACGAGTTGTTCATGTTTGAACGAGTATATCTATGCTCTTGTACAAGCTTATTTATTAAACGAGCTTTAAAATTTGTTCAAGCTTAGCTCATTTGTTAACAAATAAACAAACATGAATGAACTTCAACTGAGCTCGAATCTGAGTTGTTTATTGAGTGGCTCGGTTCATTTGCACCCTTAAAAACAAGGCCTTAAAATAACTTATTAGTGAGTTACGAGTACATACTAATTAAACAAATCATTTGAAGAATGCAATGTATGAGTTTTACATAAGTATATTTTTGAAACTAATGCTATGTTTAGTTAACATGATGTAATCTAGTTTAATTTGAATTAGTCTAACGTGATCTTATTTTCAAATTTAGCCTTATTTGTATACTAGTTTTTAAAATGAAAATCTATCAAATGAGATGCCATAAGATTCATAGTAATATGTACTTTTTTTATGAAATTTTCATTATTTATTAAATAATGAAATTAAAAATATTTAATGAATATAAGATTTAATATGATTCAATCTGATTTGATTTCATCAGATCAGATCAGATCTAGTCTAATTTGATTATTTCTGAAATAAGCTGATATCAACTTAAATAATAAATTGAACTGGGGTTATGTTTAGTTCACCATGTTTTTGTTTTTCTAATCTAACGTAAACTTATTTTTTTATAATCTAATATAAACATATATTTTCTGATTTGATCTAATCGTCTAATTTGATTAAACGTTAATTTTTTATACAATAAAAAAAAATATTCCCGCCAAGACGCCAACCAAATAAACTCATTTCAGCCCGACCCAATTTGATCGGGATACTCGACTACCTTTACCCGTTTAAGCCTCGACCTAATAACACTCGAACTGATATGAACCCAAACTGCATTAAACCGAGTAAACCCACTCACAATTATCTAACCCCTATCAAACCAATCTATTATATAAAAACTGATAACGACTAGAACCCAGATTAAAATAATAACTAAAAACCAACTCACTTATTATCATAACCGATTCAACCCATTAATTATTAGAACAACCCAATCCAATCTATCAACCAAGTGATCTCGTTTCAACCCGAACCAAAACCGAACTGTCAACCCGAACTGACAGTGTTACCCCGTGTGACGAGATTGATTATAATTGGAGTTAAGGAATAAGGGCGGTGATGGGAAAAGTGGGGTAAGTCGACATTAGCATGTAATCCCATAAACTACTCTTCTCTCGTTTCCACCCCACGTGCTTTCTCCTTCACTTCCTCTTTCTCTCTCCTCTCTTAATTACCAGTACTCCACTACTCACCACACCACTTTTTCCATCTTTCTATTTATAGTACCTTCACTCTCTCCTATATTTAGCTTATTTATCATGCTTTCTTTTCTATCCCCTTTTTCTTCCTAATTTCTCCTTTCTTTACAATTCACAAAATTTTATAAATAAGAAGAAAATCCCAATTAAATTGGACAAAAAAATAAATTTGAACAAAATGGAAAAGTACGAGGTAATGAAGCAATTGGGTGCCGGGAATTTTGGAGTTGCCAGATTAATGCGTCATAAAGAAACCAAAGAACTTGTTGCCATGAAATACATCGAACGTGGTCAAAAGGTTTTTTCTTTTTTAATTTTAATTTCTGGGTTTAGTTTTAAATAAGATTTCATAAAATACCCAGATGCTAATTTTGTGATTTTTTTTTTTTTTTTTTTTTTTTTTTTTTTCAGATTGATGAGAATGTAGCAAGAGAAATCATCAATCACAGGTCGCTTCGTCACCCTAACATTATTCGATTTAAGGAGGTAATTTGGGTCTTTTGTTTTTTTATTTTTTATCAATATTTTTTTTTGGACGAAAAGTCGTATAGACGGAATTTGATCCGAGGTCTCGTGGATAATTTTTAGGTGGTATTGACACCAACCCATCTAGGAATTGTGATGGAATACGCGGCCGGTGGTGAACTCTTTGACCGAATTTGCACTGCTGGTCGTTTTAGCGAGGATGAGGTATAATATCCTCACCTTCTTTTTGGTTCATGCCTTTTCTATTATTTTTTTTTTATTGTTTTTTGAGCTTTTTATTTGAATTATTATGTATTCATTTGATTTGTAGTGGTTTATGTTACACTTACAAATAATATTAATTAATTACCAGGAGTTTTAAATTACTTATACTAACTTGCGTGGCTAGCTACTCGTTTTGCGTCATATTTTGGGGTTGAATGTGGGGTCCATTTGGGATTGAAAGTAGCAATCAATAGCATGTTGTTTAATCTCTCATGATAATATTTAGAGTATCATTTTTTAATAATCATTTCCATTTTAAGTTAAATTTATGACAAAATCACGTCTCGATCCCCTATTAGTGTTTGATTATTTTTACTTTTAGCTTCTTATTTGTAGTCGTAATCCTTAATGGCCTTAAGGGCTGCGTTTAACATTTTCCTATAGTTAATAAGATTTATGTTTGAATAATTTTCCAGGCAAGATATTTCTTCCAGCAGTTGATCTCAGGTGTTAGCTTTTGCCATTCCATGGTAAAATACCAATTCTTGCTATCTTAGTTCAGTTCATCATTGTATATTTGTATAATATTTAGCTTAGAAAATATGCCAATTTTTATGTTTATTAATTTATATATTTTGGATGGCAGCAAATTTGTCATAGAGATTTGAAATTGGAGAACACATTGTTAGATGGAAATGCAGCTCCCCGCCTGAAGATATGTGACTTTGGTTATTCCAAGGTTCGGATGAATCTTACCGTATTTATGTTTTCCATGAAGCTCAGCAATAGTATATTGTATTCTGTATCATGTGTTTGCTTGACTTGTTAAGTTGTTTATAATCAAGTGCTATGATTAGTTTATTCACTAATTTGTTTATTGTTAAAACTGCAACTTGTAGTCATCTCTTCTGCATTCAAGGCCGAAATCCACGGTAGGGACTCCAGCATACATAGCACCTGAAGTACTTTCGAGGCGAGAATATGATGGCAAGGTGAGTCTTTAGAGAGTGCTCCATAATTTGAAGGGGCGAAAATGTGCCTGGTAATTCCAGGCTTGCATTGTGCACATTATAGCATAAAACTATACGAGTGTGTGTGTGTGTGTGTGTGTGTTGGGTGTCAGAAATATTGATTAGCTTAACTGGTGGACCCATGATTAAGATCAAAGATCTGATGATTTTTAAATTTTTCAATTTAAATTGACTTTATGGTTAGACCTTATATCATGGTAGATTCTATAACACGGTGATTTCATAATAATTAAATCATTTTTGAAATGCGTTGAGTCCACATTATGACTCAATATACATTTAAAAGATTAACTGTCAAAGCGAGCCTTTTCCAACAAAATCAACTGTTTTTCTGATTTCAGGGTAGACTCAATATAGGAATCATACTAGTACATTCTTTTGCATCTTTAAAGAATAAAAGATCATGTGAAGGTTAGAGCACGCAATGTATACAAAGTTATAGCATACTCCAGAGTCATTGCGAAGTGATTCCTTACTTTCATTTTCATATTCCCTTTTTGATGCGGAAAGGGTCAGCATTTATTTCTTTTGAAGTATCCAGGACATGTGTACATAAAATGCATATAATGAGTCGCGGGAGAAAATAAATGCACTCGCTTTGCTGAATGGATGCCTTACCTTGTCTTTAGCACCCATATGACCACATGTTTCAAAGTTTAGTGTTACTGCGGACTTAATGCAAGATGGTTTCAAGTTGATTGGTCCATTTTACATTTATTACATCAATTATTTATGTCTCTCCATTGAAAGGTCAAACCTTGGGGCCTCTGATTAACTCCTCATCAGTTGTCAAGGGAAGATTGGATTGTTATGTCAATGGGGTAAAGTCAATGAATCTCATATCTTTATCTATGCTCTGATTATATGAAACCTTGAGTCTGACTAAACGAGGCAGGAAGTATGGCTGTGTATGGGTATAGAAGTCATAACTCGAAACTCTTTAACTAAGGCTTAAAAGTAATAAAGTTTATCTAAACCAAAAGATTGCTATGTAAATTTTGAAACATTATTAAAGTACCTTAGTGGAGATTAGTTATGCATCTAGGTAATATCTTTGGTCATTGTCAAGATTGTGCTACCTGGCACCTGCATATATTGTGGGGAAGCTTTAAAAAACTTTTAAAGCAACCTTAGCTTGGTACCACATTTTTTATTTAATAATGTTTATCCTTCCTTCTAAAGTAAGAAGATGGTATTAGCTTTAGCTTCCTTTTTAATATTGATTATGATTCTGCTAGTATTATATGTTGCTGTTGCTAAAGGAAAGGCCGACTTATCTGATTTGCTTTCCATCTACTGCTTTATGGGATTTTGTTGATCGCATATGTGATCGAGTAGCTTGATGACTTTATCTTGAATGAAAAATAAAATGGGTCTTTTGGATTGAATTTCTATTATGAACCCTCTACTTGTTAACCTTCATATGTAATTGTTTATTTACTTATTTTATCATTTGAACCTTAGTAATTTTAGTATAGTTTACATTCATGGCTACTATTGCAAATAATTGTCAGTCTTAGCAACATTTTTTTCTATTTATTTGGTTATTTTATTCCTTTATATACTATTGGGAACACAGTGTGTTCAGGAAGCTTAGAACAAAATTTTCAAGTAATATCCCAAATTTGACATTTCACTCTATATAAGTTGTCCATAAATTTAACTTGCAATAATTATTAGGCTAATTATTATATACTGAGTTTTATTAATAAGAGTACCTTTACACACCAACTAGGAGAATTTTGCCATTGTTAGCAGGCTTTGACTACCTAAGTCAAATGTAATCTACTTCTTAATATTTTAAGAGAATTTAGTTCTATGTCTGGGGCTGTCTAATTGTCTATGGTTTGCATATTGGACTGCAAAGACCCGAATGATAATGGTGCCTTTCAAAGATAGTTCTAGTCAAGAATCTCAAGATTTAGGAAGTTTACTTATCTTCTCTTTTTCTCAATAGTTGCATCAACAGACAGTGATTTATCTTCTGCTTGATTATGGTCATTCTGTATTACTTGTAGTCAATTGTTTTGTAATTTTCTTGAAAGCCTCAACCAACATGATTTTTGGTGATAAAAACCTCTGTAGCCTGTACCCATCCTTTTTATCCAAAATGTTCCTTTGCTAAAGATTTTAATGATGGTTAAATATAATTTTTACTTTGTAATTGATCAAGCCTCATAATAAATCCCTGTTATTTATATTTTGAAATTTCTTAAGTTCTTGTTCATGTTCAGTTGGCAGATGTGTGGTCCTGCGGAGTAACTCTATATGTTATGCTGGTCGGAGCATATCCCTTTGAAGACCCTCAGGATCCAAAGAATTTCAGAAAGACAATTACGGTAATCTTTCTTTTTTAACTTCTTATAATTAGTTTGTAGAGGTTCTTATAATATTTTGTTTCAGTATTCAAATTAATTAAATGTTTCATTGATGTTTTCTTTTGCAGAGGATTATGGCTGTCCAGTACAAAATTCCCGAATATGTTCATATATCACAAGATTGCAAGCATTTGCTTTCTCGTATTTTCACTACCAATCCAACAAGGGTATGTTTGTTGCTGAAGTTTCCTATATTTGTCTCATTGTCTGTCTTTGGTTGACAATGCTCCTTTTCTGGCTCCCATTTGATACTAAAAAAAAATATAATTGTAGTGGTCTGAATGTTGTTGCATGTTGCATGGTGGATCCTAATGTTTGGCTGCTAATGTAATATGTTTGTCTTGTGAATCTACATGTTTCTATGAATTACCTGATTTTTTCTTTGATCATATCCATTACTGTTTTTTGGTTGTCACACTTCTATATAATGTGAAATGCTATAAAACTGGCAAATAGCAGTAATATGCTCATCTAAATATACTAAGGGCTTTTATTCGTCCTTAAAAATAGTTTTTATAATGATACGTTTTAAAAATATGGGTTTTAATATATTAACAAAGAAGTTTGCCACCATCCTCAAATTTCCACCAAAAATAAGTAAAGACCAGTGCCAACAAGTTCTAGATAAGGTCTGCCAAGTTCAATTTCTTATTTTGTGTCAGGTTCAAATCACCACATAAAATAATACTTCATAAGGGTTTTCAGTTTGAAAAAAATAGCCGAAGAAATCTCATTACCCATTCTGCATGGAGAGTGGGAGATCAATATGCACTATAACTGCTTCCTGCTCATCTTCATTTTTCTGGTCGTTTTCTCAGCATAAGCATCGATTCAACACATCTTCCCACAATTAGCACACTTACAATAGCCCTATCACCCCCCCTTCCCCCCCAACCCACTTCATGTGTCTGCAACCATCTAAAACGCTCTCTTTCAATGTGTAATGTGTGTAATAAATTAATGGCCGATTTTCTGCTGACAGCATGATGAATTTACCAATTGTTAAGACTCTTCCTTTGAGACTGTTGTTTAGAATCTACAAGTTCAAGAGAGCATTTGACTTGCCGGAATATTTAATGATACTTGATGTCCAAATTACACTGACTACTTTCTGTTGTAAACAATATTAATGTGTAGTATCAACTGCTTCATAATGTGTTTTGTGTTGAGCATTATACATGAGGATTCTCTACGTAACCAATATGCAAAAGTTAGAATAAGACTAAATTTATCTCCTACTATCAATGGCTTTAAATAATCAACTCTTTTTCAATGGCTGTAAAATATCGGTGTATCTTGAGTAAATATGAAAATGAATTGTATACTTGAAATGCATTTACATTGATTAAAGCTATGTACATGTAATGATGCAATTATAAGTAGATGATTGTTTGTCCAATTTACTGCATAATTGCAAATATTTGGTTATATAGACCAAAATCATGTTGTTTTGTTTTAGTCATCATTTCCTTTTTCCTGCAGAGAATTACCCTCAAGGAAATCAGAAGCCATCCATGGTTCTTAAAGAATCTCCCAAAAGAACTAACCGAACAAGCTCAAGCCGCCTACTACCAAAGAGATAACCCAAGCTTCGCTTCTCTGCAAAGCGTGGAAGAGATCATGAAAATTGTGGGGGAGGCAAGGAACCCTGCTCCTGTATCAAGGCCTGTCCCAGGATGGGAGAATGAGAATGAAGATGATAATGATGAAGATGCAGAAGAAGTAGAAGAAGTAGAAGAAGAGGATGAAGAGGACGAGTATGATAAGACAGTGAAACAGGTTCATGCAAGCGGAGAGTTTGTTATCAGTTAAGTTGGCATAATTGCCATTGTAGACAATATGTTTTATAAAACTTATGTTTATCAAAGTGTGCATAGGTGGCATAAGCTAGTGCTCCAAAAATTTGAAAAGATTTAAGATAATGGTTATGGTTGTAAGCCTGTAACTTGGTACTGTTAGTTTGTACAAGTATAGGAGCACTAAAAACTGGCACTATTTTTTTCCCTTGTTTTTATTGTTGAATATTTGAAGTGTACTATCTTTTTCATGTGGTCTCGTGGACACTGTCACATTGAAGTGTTACAAACTCCACTTTATAGTAATTGTAGAATGCTCCCTCTATCCCTTACTTTTTGCCCATTTGATTTATCACGGTCTCCAAGATGTGTGTTCGTATATATCTACATTTCTATACGCGTAAAATTATAAAACTTTGATATTATATATAAAATATAAATAAACTTATTTTCATTTCTTATAAGGAAAATTTATCAAGAATAAGCCAATCTTTGCGTGGTTAGCATAAAATAAGCCTAACTTCTCAATTAACTCAAAATTAATTAGCTTAAAATAAGCTTAACTTTTCAATTAAGTCAAAATAAGTCGACTTTAAAGGAGTATTTTCTTTTAATAAGTCAAATGACTTACAATCTATCAAACAAGACATTTTTTTTAATTAAAACTAATTTATTATATTTAATTATATATTTAACTATAAACAAATTGAAAAAAATAAAAGCCCAGCCATCCCCTCCCCTACCCACTGCTAGCCCCCCTCCCTCTATCGGCGGCCGGCGACAACTTCCCTCCCCTAGCGCCGGTGACCCCACCCCCTTTCCTTTCCCCCACCCACCCTCCCTTTCCCCAATCTCGTCCCTAAACCCAACCCCCAAATCCTCCATTGAAACATTATTCATCTGTGTTGGAACAAAGTTGTTTCAGTGTGAATTTTTTGAAAATTAATTATTGATTTTTGGTAACTTATTTCTGATTGAATATTACCATTTTAATTATTGATGATTTTGGCCCGTAACAAGCGTTTGCTTTGGTATTTTATTACTGCCATACTTATTGCTTGGAACAACAACTTTTTTCCTTAAATCATGCTGTTTGTTGCCTTATTTTGTCAGTTGACTTGCTGCATTCTTGAAACTTCCTACAACAGCCTTTTATTACCTAAGAATGTGCTAAACGGCTACTTTAATTCCTTAATAATATGCTGCTCATTCTTGCTTTTGATTCCCATAATTTTGCTGGCCGTTGTTTTCATTACTACGGTTATACACTAGCTTTGGATATAAAAATACGCTTTGCTCACGGTTTTATAAGAGATATATGTATATAAAAACATAACAAAATATTCTTCCTTTTTAAAAAAAAATAATAATTCAGCAATATTGTTTTTTGTCGAGCATTATTTCTCTTAGTATTTTTTGGTGTTTGATCGCCCGGTGGTTCTGTGCAAATCCACCGGTACACTATATTTTTGAGAGGCTGTTTTATCCTGGGGGACATCCGGTTGTGGTTCGATCTGCTTGCACAATTTAAAGGCAGTACCGTGAATGTTCTAAAGAAAGCGACATAGTCCGCGACTCAGTCTCATTCCCGGTAACATTGTTCTTATTTGTTGTTTCCTGCAGTTCCGTTTATAACAATTTTAGAACAAACTTTTCTGCCTTTATAATCATCATGTCTACCGAGGAAATAACTATGTCCAATGACCTTAACAAGCCCTTCCGTTTTGAAGGCGCTCATTTTAAAAGGTGGAAACAGAAAATGCAGTTTTTCTTAAGTGTTAAAAAAGTGCATTCTGTATTGACTGTCCCTAGGCCTGTTATTCCTGATAATGCTGAACAAGATGATCTAGTGTATTGGAATTCTGAAATTGAAACTTGGAATGAAACCGATTTCATGTGCAAAAACTATATTCTTAATGGTCTGTCTGATAACCTGTATGACTATTATAATCTGGAAAACACCGCTAAGGATTTGTGGGATGCCCTGCAAAAGAAATATGACACCGAAGAAGCCGGTGCCAAAAAGTATGCTGTTAGCAGGTACCTGAAATTCCAGATGACTGATGATAAGTCCGTGGAAGTGCAGTCCCACGAACTTCAGAAAATTGCCCATGAGATAATTTCCGAAGGTATGGCTCTTGATGAACAATTTCAGATTGCTGTTATAATTGACAAGTTGCCTCCTTCTTGGAAAGATTTCAAAAACAGTCTCAGGCACAAGACTAAGGAATTTTCCTTAGAGAGTTTGATTACTCGGCTCCGTATAGAGGAAGAATCCAGAAAACAGGACCAGAAAGAAGAAGTCTTACAGCTCTCTGCAAACAATGCTCCTAAGCGTTCTGCTGCAGTTCTCAAGCCCGCTGGTAAGAACTTCAAGCCTCAGAACCGGAAGAATAACTTCAACAAAAATAAACAGAATGTTCAAAAGAACGATGGAAAGCAACAAATTCAACCCCCTAAGAATGGTACTGGTCAATTCCTATGTTATAGGTGTGGAAAACCAGGCCATATGGCACGAAAGTGCAGGAACATGCATAACCCTGTACCACAGGCTAGCATGATAGAAGAGCCACTTGTGGCTATGATTACTGAGATCAACCTTATTGGTGGATCAGAAGGGTGGTGGGTAGACACTGGCGCTACACGCCATGTCTGCTATGATCGTCGGATGTTTAAAACTTATTCTGAAAACACCGATGATAAGAAAGTGCTGTTGGGTGATTCCCATTCCACTAATGTTGCTGGTATTGGTAATGTTGAGTTGAAGTTTACTTCTGGCAGGACTCTCATTCTGAAGGATGTACTGCACACTCCGGAAATGAGAAAGAACTTAGTTTCTGGTTTTCTTCTTAATAAGGCTGGTTTTACACAAACCATAGGTTCTGATATGTTTACTTTAACTAAGAATGGAATGTTTGTAGGGAAAGGTTATGCTACTGATGGCATGTTTAAACTGAATGTTGAAATTAATAAAATTTCTGATTCTGCTTATATGTTGTCTTCTTCTGTTAATATTTGGCATGCTAGACTCTGTCATGTGAACAAAAGACTCATAAAAAATATGAGCAATTTAGGCCTTATCCCTAATGTTTCCCTCAATGACTTTGATAAATGTGATTTTTGTAGTCAGGCTAAGATTACAAAAACACCTCATAAGTCTGTTGTTAGAAACTCAGAACCGTTAGATTTAATTCATTCTGATATTTGTGAATATAATGGAACGCTGACCAGAAATGGACAACGATATTTCATCACCTTTATTGATGATTGTTCTGATTATACTCGTGTTTATTTGATGAAAAATAAGAGTGATGCTTTTGATATGTTTAAGTTGTTTGTGACAGAGTTTGAGAATCAGTTCAACAAGCAAATAAAAAGGTTGCGTAGTGATCGTGGAACTGAGTATGATACTGATGCTTTTGTAGAGTTTTATAACTCACATGGTATCATACATGAAAGATCAGCTCCTTATTCTCCAGAAATGAATGGTAAGGCTGAAAGGAAAAATAGAACCTTTACTGAGTTAGTAGTTGCTATTTCCTTAAATTCTGGTGCTGCTGATCATTGGTGGGGAGAAATTCTTCTCACTGTTTGTTATGTCTTGAACCGTATTCCAAAGACTAAGAGTAAGATTTCTCCTTATGAATTACTTCGTAACAAACAACCTAACATTTCTTATTTCAGAACTTGGGGTTGTCTGGCATATGTTAGGATTCCTGATCCTAAAAGAGTTAAGTTAGCTAGTAGAGCTTATGAATGTGTATTCATTGGCTATGCTGTTAATAGTAAAGCATATAGATTCTTTGATTTAAGTGCACGAGTAATTATTGAATCTAATGATGTTGATTTTTATGAGGACAGGTTTCCTTTTAAATCTAGAAATAGTGGGGGTTCGTCCTCCTCTTTTATTCCTGCAGTCAGGTCTAACTCACAGGATTTAGATGCTGAACCCGAATTAAGAAGGAGCAAGCGGGCTAGAGTGGCAAAAGACTTTGGCCCGGACTTTGAAGTTCTCAATGTAGAGGAGGATCCTTCTACCCTCCAAGAAGCCTTAGCCTCAGTTGATTCAGATTTATGGCAAGAAGCCGTGAATGATGAAATGGACTCACTTGAGTCTAATCGAACTTGGCATCTGACTGAGTTGCCACCAGGATGCAGAACAATTGGCAGCAAATGGGTCCTAAAAAGAAAGCTAAAAGTTGATGGGACCGTTGATAAGTATAAAGCTCGTTTGGTAGCTAAAGGCTACAGACAAAGGGAGAATGTTGATTTCTTTGATACTTATTCACCTGTTACTAGAATAACTTCTATTAGAGTGCTAATGTCTCTTGCTTCTGTTTTTAATCTTGTAGTACATCAGATGGATGTAAAGACAGCATTCTTGAATGGTGAATTGGAAGAAGAAATCTACATGGATCAACCAGAGGGCTTTGTCATCCCAGGAAAAGAACATCTGGTATGTAAATTAGATAAGTCTCTTTATGGTCTCAAACAAGCACCTAAACAATGGCATGAAAAATTTGATAACTTAGTCATTTCACATGGTTTTAAGATAAATGGTAGTGACAAGTGCATATATGTAAAATTTGAGAATGACATTTGTACTATAATTTGTCTGTATGTGGATGACTTGTTAATTTTTGGCTCGAATATTCACGCTGTGAATAATGTGAAGCTATTGTTAAATGCTGAGTTTGATATGAAAGATCTAGGAGAGGTGAATGTAATCCTTGGTATTAAGATTACTAGGACAGTAAATGGAGTTTCTTTGGATCAGTCTCATTACATTGAGAAAATCCTAAAGAAATATGGTTACTTTGACTGTAAACCTGTTAGTACACCTTATGATCCCAGTGTAAAGTTATTTAAGAACACTGGTGAAGCTGTAAGGCAATCTGATTATGCGAGCGTCATTGGCAGCCTTCGGTATGCCACTGATTGCACTAGACCCGACATTGCCTATGTCGTGGGATTATTAGGCAGGTTTACTAGTTGTCCTGGTAATGAGCATTGGCATGCTATTGAAAGGGTCATGAGATACCTTAAGAGGACCATGAACCTAGGATTACATTATGAGAGGTTTCCAGCTGTACTAGAAGGCTATAGTGATGCCGACTGGAACACCTTATCAGACGACTCTAAGGCTACTAGTTGATATATTTTCTCTATAGCCGGTGGAGCTGTATCTTGGAAGTCTAAGAAACAGACTATTTTAGCTCAGTCCACCATGGAGTCAGAGATGATAGCACTAGCTTCAGCTAGTGAAGAAGCAGGTTGGTTAAGAGACCTGCTAGGTGAGATTCCCTTGTGGGAAAAACCATTACCTGCTGTC